TGTATAACAATAATTTTTTTGTTGTTGTTGTTGTTGTTGTCTGATGGTGAATAAGACAACGACAATGACAACTAAACTAACCAAACAATATAAAAACAATGAAAACGAAATTGTGCAGAAAAAAAAACAATTGAAAATTGTTTTCGATTTTCATAGACAATTGTCTTATTCATTTTGAAATAAATAGTCATCATCCTAATAACAGTAATGAATCGTGTTGGATCATTGTGTTGGAATCATTGGTTAGCAATGATTTCTATACATTTGATTCGGTTCATCGATTATTAATTTCTTTTTTTTTTCTTCATCTATTTGGGTTTTTTTTATTTTGATTTCAAATGTTCAAATCGGAATGTCGAATTCCACTTTACTTTTTTTTCTAATAATGATCATGATGATGATGACGATGATGATGGGCTACTGGTTGAACAAAATACTCAAACTTGAAAACATGCAGAATATTCTAGCATTTTTTTTGTCTGATATAGCAATACTACTTGAAAATAGTTAACTTGACTTTTTTTTCGAAAGTGATCATTGAATATATAACAATGTTTTGTTAGTGAGCCGTAGGCACGAAATGAGAAAATAAAATAAAAAAAAACACAAGCATTCTTGTATATTCAATCAATTGAATGGAATCATAATTCAAATATTCATTTGGATCGAGATTTTTTTTCTTATTTTAGTTCCTAAATATAAATGTGTTAATATTACGATTTGTATTCCATTTTCTTCCGTTGTCGATCATCGTATTTTATTACCAAAAAAATGGGAAAAGAGAAACGAAAAATTTATTGATGATTCAATTAATCAAAGACATTTTGAAAATGATGAAAATTGGAACAACCAAAAAAAAAAAAAAAAATACAAACCAAAACCAAAAACTAAGCAACCCGAAACCAAACCAGTCTTATTATTCTTCATTTTTTCTATGGTTCTGCCCTGAACAAAAAAAAAAGAAAGAGAAAAAAAACTGAATACCGTTTCCAAGGAATCATATGATTCACTAAACCGAATGAAAGTAAACAGAAAAAAATTGATTGAAACAAAATGCACGTTGATAATAATTTTTTTTTCTCAGTGTGTATTGTATATGCGTGACATAAAGACATTGACCAAAAAATAAGAATAGGCGGTTTTTATCAGATAATAATTATGGCTAATAATTTTCATCATAATCATCATCATCATTTGATCGTGATTAGATTAGATTCTGTCAAGTTTTAATCATTATTCGTTCATTTTCATTTTATTCAATAAATTCTTGAAAGTTTCATTGAAATCCTATTGTCTTGATGAAACAATGATAATATGTGGCGATGTTGGAGTGATTCACAAATGAATTGTCAAAAAGTAAGCTTAAGTCATCAGCATTATTAATAAATTTTTTAGAATGATCCAAAAAAGTTTTTTTTCGATTTCATTGTCATAATCAAATCAAATTTTTAAGCCTGTTCTATATTTAGAATCTCACATGTTTAGAGAAAAAGTAAATGACAAGAAACAAATTCTTTTTTTCTGATGGTAATAAAAAAGTTCAAAAAAAATGGAATCTTGATTCTATCCATGATGGTGGGTTACAGAATATTTCTTTTTTCTTGTTTGTTTTAATCAATACTATTGAGCGGAATCATCATTAGGGGTAAAGAATATTTTTTTTTCTCTGCATGTGTATTCAAATCCCAAATGAGTTAATAAAGTTTTTTTTCCAAAATGTGTGTTTGGAATAATCCAAAAAAAAAAAAAAATTCTGTCTAAAATATAAATGAATTGAAATAAACAAGAGACAGAGAAGAGAAGAAATATTTTTTTTTTTTCAAAAAAAAAAAAAAAAAGCTGTCATGTGTCGTATTAATTATGCAGTTATTTTTCAGTTTGATTATGATGATGATGATGATCATGACATTTTCCAAATGTAATTTTGGTCAACGTCATCAATTCCACATGTACAGAAACGAAAAAAAAAATACAACATCATCATCATAACAAACTCTGAAACAACACATCTAGATTCTTGTTGTTGTTAAAGTAATTTTATGATGTGGTGCCAAATACCAATGAACAACAACATGCATGAAGAAAAATGACAACCAAATAAGAGAATTTTTTTGTTGTTGTTGTTGTTTTGTTTCGACAATAATGAATTAGCCACAAGAAAAAAAAAAGATTCCTGTTGCTATTTGAATGAACAGTGAAAAAAAAAGAATTCATGAATTCTGGTTCGTAACAATGCACCGGTAAAATATGTTCTTTTGTATTGAAACTGATCTTGGACAAAAAAAAACTAGCAACAAACCAAAAACAAAACAACAACAACGACGACGATGACAACAAAACAACAACAACAACAAAAAAAAAACTGACAGCTAAAGAAAAGAAAACTGAATAAGAATGTATGAAAAAAAAGAACAAAAAAAAGCGGCAACTATTGATCCAGAACCAAACAACGACAATAATAATGACTGGGGTGTGGAGAGACAACAACAACAACAACCAACGAACGAAAATGTGATGGCAAAGTTAAAATCTTTGTCAACGTGTATGATCATGGATGATTCGTTGAGATTGATCCAAGAAGTAGTGAAGAAGAAAGAAATGAAACTACAATAGAAGAAACAATATGAATGGAACTTGGATATAAAAAAAAGAAAGAAATGTGTGTGTGTGTGTGACAATAAAAAAAATTCTGAAAATTCATTTCGACCAACTTTTTCCTAATTTTTTTCTTTCATTCATTCATTCACGCTGTCATAAAAATATAAAAAAGGGAACAATTCTTTTCACAAAAGTTCGGTGGATAGATGAACAGAATTTTCTTATGAATTTATGCAATGAAAAAGAATAATAGATTTCAATCCAGATTCCAGCGAAAGCCAAATAAATTTTTAAAAAATTGAACTAATCAATAATTGAGCTGAAAAAAAATTGATCGAATTCAAACTTTTTCTAGATATTCAGACAAACAAATAAGAAAAAAAATTCAAAAACGTTTCATACACAAAAAAAAAGAAAAGTAATACAATTCAAAAAGTGTAAAGGAAATAGATATCCAAATCAAAGCAAATCAAAAAAAAAAAAAAAAATTGAAAATGGCCGTTTTGGGACACATTAAATTCTCACACAATGCTGTTATATTTTAATGTCCGTTTTGATGGAGCAAAAAAAAAAAAAAAAAGAAGAAGAAATTATTACCGACTAGACTTGATGAACAAAATGTACCATCCAAAAGTGTATTGGAAAGCTAATAAGAATTAGAATAATAAAAAGAAAAAACGACAATTTCCGTTACCGAGAGAATGGAAAAAAAAACATTTGTAATGTGAAAATCAAGATTATGATTCACATGCAAAGAAAACAGCTTAACGATTGTATAGAGAAAAAGAATGAATGAATAAAAACTGTCTCTCGAGAGAATCCTACACAGTAAAAAAAAACGAAAGTAACAAAAGAAAAGGATATTGAAATTATTCTTTGATCACAATGTGAAAAATAAAATAGATTTCTATTTTCCGATTCTCTATTTTCTGGTTGTCAAGAGTGACTATTTATTTTTTTTTTCGTTGGAAACAAAAGATTATCCAGAAGATATTTCTGTGTGTGTGTATTGATGTATGGACCATCGAAATTGTGAATAGAATAGCAACAAATCAATTATTGATAATGTTAATCATCGATCCTAAGAAAAGGTATTAGGATTTTTTTTTTCATTTCTATAGACTAATTTGTAAAACATGACATGTGTACACACACACACACACACACACACACTATGTATACAAGGTATCAATTTCATCAATTTATTTATGTGGTCGAAGGTATTAATCGTATGAATCGAAAAATTCTGTTCTCATTAACTTTTCATTATTGTCTATCATTATTATCTGTCATTGTCAATATTCTAATAATTTTTTTTTACGAAGACAAACTCAGAACATAAGAATCAATTATATGGAATATATACTCTATTTGCCATTATGTCATTTAATCAATCAATGGATTGGATAAAACTTACAATTCATAGAGTATAACAAATGACGGAATGATGGATTTGAAGAACGATAGAAAAAAAGTAATGACGATAACAAAAAAAAACAGGCACCTTAAATTCTGGTTTCAATAATACGATTGTTTATTTTTTCTGTTGTTTAAAAATTAATAATGTTGGATCAAAGGTCAATGCGTTTACTGTTGAATGATGATGCTGATACAGATGACCTATTAATGTGTGTGTTTGTGTAGAAAACAAAATTGTCAATTATTGACCACAATAGACAAAATCAATATGGACGTGCGACAATTCGAGAATGCGAAAATTTTATGAATAGCCACAAACACACACAAACACGATCGATGATTTGTCGCCATCAACAAAAGTTCCGTGGGTACTAATGGTTGATGTTACATTTATGGGGTATTTTATCCATTTGAAAATTCTTCTGTTTTTAGCCTAGGAAAAAAAAAATTTCCAAATTTCTGCTAGTGCGCGCGTTTTAAAGGAAGAAAGAATAAAACAGAGAGAGAGAATATTCTCTTCAAACACTCATGTGAGAACATCTGGGTGCCCGAAAAAAAAACGTTTTCTATAGTTATCACTATATTACCATTGAATTTCATTGTATTGATTTGTATTGCATACCACTGCCACACAAACAAACACACACACACACACATACATACAGTTTAGAGATTATTCCCTGCTGTGTGTATGTTGTTCCCGAGAATAAATGAAAATCTTGCGTGTATGCGTTTCTTTATTGGTCCAAAGAATTGAAAAAGAACGAAAGAAAAAAAAGGAAATTTTCCTTTTTTTTTTTTTTTCATGATGATGATGATGATGATTACGACGAGGAAAAAAAACATCAAAGAAACTCAAATATCGTACTAACCAAACATGATGATGATGATGATGATGATACGAAGAATCAAAAGAATGGTTTTAGGGCGATGGAGAAATTCGACTTCATGCAATTCTTTTTTTTTTCTTATTTGGTGCCAAATATTACAAACAAAAAAAAAACCAAACGAATATAAGAAGTACAAATGTGGGAAATACACTAGGATTATGGCCCTAGGGACAAATGTGTGTGTGTGTGTGTTGTTAGTTGGAACATTAGTAATGGGAAAAAAAATTTTACAAACCAAGTATATAATATTTGCTTAGAATAATAGAAAATTTGTGTTTGATATATTTATACAAATAACAATCTTTATCAAGATTCTTTATATAAAACTTTACCGGGTTATTTTTTTTCTGGTGCCGGAAAAAAAACTGATGAGATCACTGAGACTGGATTTTTCTGGTTCATTTTATTTATTTTATATAATAGCCAATAAAGTCCATTGAATGGATTGGATTGTTGGCTGATGATTTAGAAAAGGGACACCATAGATGAATTTTTGTTTACCATTATCATTAAAAACGTGTGTGTGTGTGTGCGTTTGCGTTTATGTTCAAATGATGGTATCATCACCAGGACAAATAATCTTGGTTCCAAGGAAAAAAAACTAAACAGAAAAAAAATCGAAAAAATAATTCTTAGAAAAATGCATTCAAGTCATCATCATCATTGTTTTTATGATTGGTTGTAGATTACATGTTTTTGCTGTTGTTGTTGTTGTTGTTGGTGGTGGTGGTGTATGGAGCTCAGGTGCTACAAAACAATACCAGCCGATTCGATTTAATGTTTGTTGTTGTTATCGATGATAGTCAATCATTTGAAGACATGAAAAAAATAGCACATTTTTTCAAATCAAGAATATTATACCATTTGGAATATCACACAATAATGATAATAATACAGAATGGTTTGGTTGCTTCAAATAAAGATTTATAAAACAACAAAATTTCTGTTTTTGTCATTACTTTTTTCTTTGCTAATGATTGTAGCCAATTTTCTTGTTCAAAGTTTGAAAAAAAGGATTTTCCACCAGACCCACCCACCCGAATTGAATGCGTTGAACATCGATATATTATTTCGTTTGAAATCAGAATAACAACGTTATGGACATTGAATGTAACGATACTCATTTATTATTATTTTTTGTTTGTTTGTCACGCTTTGTGGTACACCGATCCAATAATCAAATCAATGAGTTTTACAACGATTCTCTTGGTTGAATCGTATAAATTACTTAATTGTATGACAAATGATCTAGATTTGTGTTCGTGGGCGTGTGAAAAATAAAAGAAAGCTAAAAAAATGACCAAACGAACAGAAAAACACACACAAACCACAAACACCGGATGTCATGGATGGCTATGATTGATTTCCTTATTGTGTTTTGCTTATTGTTTGTAGCACTTGATTTGGAATGGGCGGAAACGATCCATATGATAATGAATCTTGAAAATTTCCATATGATTTGAAACAAATATATAGACAAAATAAAGTTCGAAAAAAAATCAGCTCCCTCTATCGACAAGTTACTTCAATCATATAACATCGATTAAAAACCGCCAAAAAAAAACTCTGTTAGTGTCGACCACTGGTGATGAAAGTGATAAACATCATTTCGCGCCAAATCAACCCCGGTTAAATGATAGCAAATGCTGGAAAAAAATCGAGGATGAGGAGGGAGAGGAAAAAAGAGGAGGAGATTCATAGATGATGATGATGTGACTGGATTTTCATATAAGAAAAAAAAAGAATAAAACTCAACAGAGATCCCAGAGCAAACGCATGCGTTTAGATTTTTCTTCATTTTTCTTTTTCATTTCATTTTTTTTTCAAGTACTTTTTTTTAAAAAATTGAAAAAATTTATTAATCTTTTTTCCAAAAAAAATTTTGACCAAAAATTCTCATTGATTGGAAGAATATTTTACATATTGAACATAGAATTCAAAGATTTCAATGATCAATAACAAATAACAATGTTTATGAAAAGAAAAAATTGAATTCTGTCACCTCCTTCAAAAATTCATCCTCCTCGTTATCGTTTTCATCTTCCTCCATATATATATTGATACACACACAGAGTGCAAGGCTGGCCTTGTGTTTTTATGTATGTTGTTCGTAAAATCAGGCATATTTTTCATTGGCTTGTTTTCTGCATGCATGCATGCATGCATTTATATTTCTGTGGATTGCCAAAGATTTTGTGTGTATGTATCAAAAAAAAAAAAAAACTCTCCCTCAAAACTGCTTTTTTTTTGGAAACAGCAGCAGCTGTGTATGTATGTTGGTTGAATTGTGGATTGATGGTTAATAGTAGTTGAAGGCGCACAACTTCCGAAAAAACACCTTTTTTTCTGGTGCCTTAATTTGGGCTCTAACGTATACACACATTCAATTTCAAGGAGTAAAATCCTCGATTCTCATCTTCATTGAATCGAAAACGGATGAGAAATTCCTTTTTAACATCAACTCGTGGTTAAAAAATTTCAAACTAATAGCTGTAAATTGTTGACTTTTTCCTTTGCCATATTCGACACAATCGGATTGCTTGAAACACATACCATTATTGACAAAAAAAACCTTGGCTGATTAACGAATAATCGCGATTAATTAAACAAAATCATCATTAACCAAATATTCATCTAAATATTGAAACATTTCATCAATTCTGACAAAATGTATTCATCACCATCAATCAATGGTCTCAATAACACTAACAATGAAAAGAAATTTTTCGTCCTAAACAACAATAGGTTTGTATTTTGAGTTTTTATGTAAAATTTCTGGAAACTTAATTTGTTACACATACGTAATTTAAAAAAAAGCAGCGAATCATCTCTATTGTTATCATCATCGGCACCATTGCATACAAATTCTATTGCTAGAAAAACTCAGGTCATTACCAATAAATCATCTGGTACGAACGGCATCAAATATCCTAAATCACCTTCATCACAAATGAAACGAAAAAAACAAGATTCCAAAACGGGTAAAGGTCTTCGCCATTTCTCTATGAAGGTAATTTTCAATTGTAATGTTTGTTATGTTTTGTTTCAAATTTTTTGTTTTTCTAAGGTTTGCGAAAAAGTTCGTAATAAAGGAACAACCACTTATAATGAAGTTGCCGATGAATTGGTAGCCGAATTCAGTGATGATCCGATCGCTAGTCGTGCATCATTTCAAACGGGGAATGATCAGGAACCATTTGATCAAAAGAATATTCGTCGCCGTGTTTACGATGCCCTTAATGTATTGATGGCCATTAATATCATATCAAAAGAAAAAAAAGAGATCAAATGGATTGGCTTACCTACTAATGCCGTTCAGGAATGTTCCGAATTGGAAAATGAACGTGCTCAACGTCAACAGCGAATCAAAGAGAAAAAGGATCAATTACGTGATTTATTGATACAACAGATTGCATTCAAAAATCTTGCTGATCGTAATCAAATGACTGAAATGCCGGATCCAAATTCTATAATAAAACTTCCATTCATCATTGTTAATACCGATAAAGATACCTTAATCGATTGTTCAATATCACGTGATAAATCAGAATATCTATTCAATTTTGATAGCTCATTTGAAATTCACGATGATTTTGAAGTATTAAAACGAATGGGTCTTGGTTATCATCTGGAAAAATTGGAATATGGACAAACAATGAAACGTTGTGATTATGAACGTGCACGACAATTTCTTCCAGAAGCATTACGAACAGAATTGGATGAAATGCTTGAAGAGAATCATGTACAGATAATCAATTGAAATTTAAAAAAAAATAGTTTGATCATAACAATCATGAAATATTGAAAAAAATACAATTCTTATATTTCTTCTTTATTTGATCAATTGATCAAATCAATTTTCGTATCGATCAGCATTAATATATAGAAAATCATCAAAAACAGAAAAAAAATTTCAAATGTTTGTTTCGTCCATTAATTGTCGAAAATTCCATTGTAGCAATTATTATTATGATTTTCTATGTATTTTTTCTAGTAAAATGGAAAAAAACATTATTTTCTCATCATCAATATCATAATCATAAACAACAAACAAAAGAAATCAAATTTGATGCCCATGTAATTTTTTTTATCATTGTATTCTTGTTCTTGTTGAAATAAATTCATTTTTTTTCCTCGTTTCATCTACATTTGATCGTATAGTTGAGGTATGCAAAAATATTTAATAAAATTATAAAAATGACCAATAGAATACCATTCGCAATTACGAAGCTTAGATTCACTTTTGTGCCAAGATGATGTTTATCCACACCACATTCATAACGAATATCAACGGATTCATATTTGCCTACTTTTTCCATATAATGATTCAATGGACAAATTTGTTTATGATTTTGGCAAAATTTCTCTGGAAAAACTTCACATGCACCATTATCGGAAAAAGTTTCATTGAAATAATAAAATTTTAGAAAATAATTTTCAAAACGATCATCATTCGGACCATCTTCATTTGTTTGATTTTCATGAAGTTCAAATATTAATGTTGCACCAGGTGATATAAGAAATGTATTATAGATACCGAATGCTTGTAGAATGGACACAATTTTACCATCATGTGTGGAATATAGATAGAATTTTGTATCTCGATTCGATCCATTCACATAGTTTCGAAAATTATCATTAATTTCTCGAATCAATTCGCCACCAATCAATCGTTGAATGGAAAAATTATCATAGAATAATGTCCAATAGATTTGTGATAATTCACGAAGTCGTCGAATAGCATATGATTCATAATTTTCTGTCCAAATCTGATATGGTAATTTATACCAATGATAATTTGTTTGTGTTTCAATGTACAATTCTTGATACAACAAATTCATCGCTTTTAATGTATCGATTTTTTCGCCAGCATAAAATGAAATTTCTTTGAAAAATTGACGATTTTCCTCTTCGGCTTGTTTGATGCGATGATCTTGATGCCACATTTCATGGAATATTTTATCCAAATTTGGACATGGAAAATCAACATCCAATAACGGATCAGTACCTTTCGATGAAAATGATTTGATCGGTATCGGTGTCCAAGAATGTTCAAGATTTTCATAAATAAATTCATTCAAAGTGTAATTATAATTCTTTTCATCTTTAAGATTCTTTGATCCTCCAATTAAACCGGCGGTAAGTGCCGATGCACTTTCTAAACATCGACGATAACTTGAACTTCGTATATGTATAAAATTTTCAACATTTGTCTGATAATAATAAGTATTGATAAAATTTGCATAAACTTCATGAAAATATTTTCCAACTTTATACATTCGATTTCGGCCAATTCGAGTAAGTTGACCAATACCTTCGGGCCAGAAATGTCCCACTATACTATATGGATCATTATGAACGAATTGTCCTGGAGTACGATCACCATGTGTATGAATCAATTGCACTAGTCGTAATGTTGAATGATTTTCAATACTTTCTCCTGGTCGTAATCCATTTATAGTTGAAATGAAAATAGTAATAAATACAAATAGTAAAAGTAATGGAACAAACTTTGCCATTCTGTAGTATATAAAATGTAAGTCATTTGGTACTATCATTATCATCATCATCATCATCATCATCATCATATGTTAATGATGCGCATGCAAATTGCCAATCATTTTCACCATGAATAAATCTTATCATTAAATCAAAATTTTGATTATGACATTCGCATCATTTTGATGTTGAACGTTTATTATTCGAAATCAAATTCTATCGATGGTCATCAATATGATTTAATATATGATTAATCAATGAAATTAAGATGGTTTTAATCATGAGAATATTGCTAAAATTATGGTAATGTAAAAATTTAAAAAAAAATTTGAAATTTTTTTCTGTAACGTTGTCTACTAATAGTACTTGTCATGTGTTTGGTTCTCGTTTTCATTTTGATGTTTTAGAACCGAATTATCGACAAGGAAAAAAAGAAAATTTGTGACACGAAGACAAAATTTTCACCAAAATGTCAACCAAACAAGAAGATACTCAGGAATCACCATCCACATTGTTGACGGCTGAAACATTGCCAAGAAAATTATTGAATGGACCACAAGAAGGTGTACAATATCCAATCAAAGTTAACTATTGTGGAGGTTTGAACTTTAATAATTTATTATTATGAGAATTATTAATTTTTTCATCATTTTTTCCGATAATATAGTATGTTCATTGCCATTGGAATATTGTGAATATAATAGTGGTTATGATAAATGTAAAGAATGGCTTTTAAAGAACATGCCCGAAATGTTTGCCAAATTAGATACAAATGGTAAGCTACGTTGACAATTTAATTTTGTTCTTAACTAACATCGATTCACCGTAGCTACTGATGAAAAAGATTCATCTAAAAAGACTAGACAAAAACGTGGCGGTAAAGCATTGCTAAAACCGAAGAAAAAAGAAACTGGCGAACTGATTGTTAAAATATCACGATCAAATCGTGGAAAAAAGAAATACGTAACTTGTATGATCATTGAATATTTTTTTTTGTTTTGTTTCACATTGCATATATTCTTATAATACATATTTTTCATTTACATTAATTAGTTGTACATGGATTAGGAAATTTTGAAATCGATCTAAAGGATGCGACAAAATTTTTCTCTTCACGTTTTGCTTGTGGATCATCGATAAGCGGCACTGATGAAATAATCATTCAAGGCGATGTAAAAGATGATTTATTTGATGTATTACCAGAAAAATGGTCACAAATTGAAGATGATTTTATTGAAGATTTGGGCGATGTAAAACGTTGAGGATTTTTGTAATTTTAATAATCTTTATTCTTAATTAATTAAAATTATGTTTAAAATCATCAGATTTGTGGTAAAAACTTGCTTAATTTTTTTTTTAATTTATTTATTCCAGAAAGTGCTGCCATCTTTTCACAAAGAGAAGAAGCTATTTTTCATCTTTTTTTTTGAATAATAAGTTTTTTTTTTAAATTTCTTCATTCATAATAATAATAATAATAATAAATATAACAAATAATATATCAATCGAATGTTCATGTGTTATGTGTATTTTTGTATACATATAAATCAATGAATTTTTTTTTGTTTAAAATATTTTGGACGTAAACAACAATTATAATAACAAACAAACAATTATTATATGCGAGTTAGACAAAAATGATGATGATGATGAATATCTGAACCAGGAAATTAAGGTGGAAAATCAAATTCAGAAAATTTTTAAGGCAACCAGAGAAACAAAAAAAAAGAAGGGTGTCTTGTTGTTGTTGTTGTCGTTTTTTATTGAATGGGCGGAAACGATTTGCAATCAGGCAGATTAGATAGGCAAGATTGATTTTTTGTGTGTGTGTGTGTGTGTGTTTGATGAAATAAGTACGATAATGATAAGCTTTACACACACACACACACACGAATCTATTTCACTGATTTATCTGACATTTTTTTTTATCATCATCAGATAATGTGGTAAATTGAAGAAAAGAAATCGTAACAACAAATTAAGAAACATTTATGTTGTGTAAATGTGTCTGTGTATGTATGTGGAAAGCAAAACAAAACAAAACGAAAAAAAAAATAAAATAGAAAACGATAAAAGATACCTGGTGTTTAGGTGTGTTGGGTGTGTGTGTGTGTGTGTGTTTGTGTTCTATTATGGACAAACAAGATTATCTATTACATATTTAATCAAGGAACAAAAATCAACAACAATTAGAAAGTGTGTAAATGTAAGTAAAAGGAAAAAAATAAATGCAAAAAGAAAAAAAAAAATTAAAACGGAAACAAATAACAATCAAATGTAAGTTGTGGTGTGTACTATAATAGGAGGAACCGTATAAACAAACAAACAACGATAACGACAACATCTACAAATATTAGCATTCTACATTCGTGATCATGAAAAATGTGTTGTTGTACATGCAATTGTAGTGTGTGTGTGTTTTTTTTATTCATGAAATAAATATTTTACAAAACAAAAATAATTTGGAATAATAATGATAATAATAATTCGATTTTTTCAATGAATTTACAGAATATGATGATGATGAACCAAAAAAAAAAAAAAAAAAAAAAAAAAGTTTGTTCAACTGTGTGGCTACTTTATTACGTAGTGGGCGTTTTTATATATATATATTTATATGTAGAAGAATAAATATTTGAATGAATATATATATTTCCCCTTGCAATCATTGAATCAATTCGGTTAAGTTAAATAAATGGTGATGATGATTATGGAACAATGGTTAAAAAATCAAACAACATTGCTAATATATAAATTGCACTCAGTTTATATGTGCAAAATTCTTTTTTGATTTGAACATTTTATGCAATTGAAGAAATTCTTTTTTTTCCAATTTGAAAATGAATAATATGACAATTAGAAGATTGCACTTTGATTTATCACCTTGTTTACTGAATTGTTCTCAAGTTTAAAAAAAATTGATCAAATATCTAGGACAATAACTTCGCCTGGTTTACCTCCTGATAATGATTTTTTTTGCTGTGATTCTGCTGTTTGAACTAATTGATTTCCTTTCTGTACTGCTGATAATAACAATTGTGTTTGAAGTTGTTGTAAATGTTGTTGTTGTGAAGTTGATCCATTTTGTTGACTTTGTTGTTGTTGTTGTTGCTGCTGCTGTTGTTGTTGTTGTTGTTGTTGTTGTTTCATATTAGCAACGGAAAATATTCCTAATGATTTCAATTGATTAAAGCTTAAATTCTTAAATATGGCTCCCATATTCTGGCTAATAAAATTCCGATGTGTCACTTCATGACCAGCTAATCCAGCCGTATTAAGAAATCGTTTACCACAATTTGGAAAATTACAAACCACTGGTTTTTCACGTTCATGTTCAGCAAGAAAAGCACCATATTTATTATGTGTTGCCAAATGTGTTACTTCATGGCCAGCTAAACCTGCAGCATTGATGAAACGTTTACCACAATTTGGATAGGTACAAACTATTGGTTTATCTTTATCTTCTACATGTGTTAATGACATTGGAAATTCTCCCGATGCAAGATGTTTACGGCGATGTGCTTCCAATTTTGATCTTGTATAAAATGATGAGGAACAATTTTCAAAATCGCACAAGAATGGTTTTAATCTATTCAAAAAAAAAAAAAAAAAAAAATAAAAATAAAAATAGAAATGTAATATATAGCAAAATTTTACAAAATACCGCTTACCCTTTATGGATGGCAATGTGACTTTGCATAAAATCAGGCTTGTTCGTAGTAAAATTACAGCCTTCATAATCACAAGCAAATATTGTATGTGCAATATGACGACGTTTATGTTTTCGATAATTTGAAGGATCTCCCGTTTCATAGCTACAATTTGGAAATGAACATTTGAATGGTTTTTCTTTTGTATGTATTCTCATATGTGTACGTAATGTTTTTCGATCTTTGGTCGCAAATTTACATTCAGGCCAATGACATTTATGTGGTCGAATAGCGTCCATATTGATATTGAGACCATTAGCTGCAGCAATCGTTGCCAACATACTTGGTGATACGTTTGGTGATTTTCGATTAGATGATCCAGTAGCCGATAAAGCAATACGAAGATTACTAATAGGTCCACCTGGAACTACATTACCGGGTATTTGATTTGATGAAACCGGTGCACTACCAACTGATGATGGTGATGATGTAGCAGCAGCTGCAGCGGCTGCTGCTGCCGCAATACTTTGAGGATGAATCTGTTGAAAATTTGCAGCTAATAAAGCGGCTGCAGCTGCGGCAGCATTAGACATTGCCAATGGATTATTACCATTGGTTGTTGATGATGATGTTATGATCTCATGATGATTGGATTTATCATTAGATGATGATGATGATGATACATTAAAATTATTTGCCGATGATGATGTAGTTATCGAATCATTGTTTGATGTAGATGATGATGGTTGATGACAATTCCTAAGACGATGTTCACCATTCAATTTATGTGATGATAAATCTGTTAAATCATTTTGATTATTGCCACCATTATTTTGGCAATCATTTCCATTGCCGGTGAAATATAGCTCATTTGGATTTAGGTTTATCTCTATACAAAAAAAAATACAAAAAAACGATATGAGAAAAAATGATGAATTATTCAAAACAAAAAAAAAAAAATTTGAATAAAAAAAAGGAAATATGCAATTCAAATTCCAGCAACAACAACAACAACAACAACAAAAACAAATAAACAATTATGAAAAAATAAAGACAAGAAAAACGAACATTTCTTGAAACGAATGAATTCACATGAATGAAAAATAATAAAAAAAAAATTCAAAACAAAAACAAATTTCAAGGTTTCATCACTACGATATTTTGTCATAATAAGAATTATTATTATTGTTATCATCATGATCACTATATTTCGACAAAATACATAAACTATTGGCAACCCTACTCAATGCTCAGTTTTTCAGTTTTCTTACGATTTTTATTTTTATTTATAAATAAATGATGACGAGAAATAAATGTACAATTTGCACGAGATTTGTAAATGAAAACTTGGAAACAACCCGAATTCATTCATTTTGTTCATTTTGTCTCAACTAAACCACCAATCACACAACAACCAGAGAACAGTTATCAACAGTTATTCAGTATGAATTCATCCGTAATAAAAATTGAATCAAATAATAAATAAACTTCCGCATCATCATCATATACGATGAATGAATGAATTTTTCATACACGCGTTTATTACTACTACTACTACTACCGCTATTATGTGAATGAGCAATGACGATATGTTGATGAATAAATTCAATCTACTATTGAATGTCTATATTCACAGCGGGTATTTTTCCCACTTTACTTTATATATATTCATCGTCAGAAAAAAAACATGAACAAAGCTTTATTTTTAGACTTATCATTTGATTTGTAAAAAAAAAGACATCATCAATCCCTCAGTTTTAAGCACAAGATATCGTACTCATCCGATCATCATCATCATCATCATCAAGCCAACGACAGTATAATTAAGTGTTTAAGAATTCTTTTTTTTTTAGCAACTGATTCGTGATACTTCACTGATTACACATAACTAAACGAGGAGAATTTTTTTCTGTAGATTAAATATCGCTTATGCAATATATCGTATTTATTATGTGGAATTGGCATATTTTTTTTTGTTTGTTTGTTTGTTCCACTCATACATACAATGGCAAATGCTCAATCCGTATTAACATTGCACACATTACATACGTGTAAGCATGCAAACAATTTTTTTGTTTTGTTTTCACAATACAAAAAATATCATCTTTAACCAATTATATTAATATATATGAATAAACAAACCAAGGATGCACATATGATTGATTTACATTTTGATTTGATTGAGTAATAAAGCAAACGAATCAATCATTTTTTTTCCATCTTATATCTATATATTTGATTCAAATGTTGAAAAAAAAAGAAAATGAAATGAATTTATTATCGATGGGCATATATCCAATTTCAATCATTATATATTAGACGAAATCTGGTCAAAAAAATATCCATTTATTTGGCTCAAAATTCGAATACATGAATAAAAAAAAACTGCGAAAAAAGTGATCGATAAATTGAACAAATATCATTTTCTTTATTCATCCCAGTCATCATCATCATCATCATCATCATAAATGCTGTTGAGACAACAAAAACACAACACAAACATACGCATAAATGATTATCATCAGGGCATAACATTTAGTTATTACGTAACAAATGAATACATCCTTGAATGGAACAAATTCATGTTTCAAATGAATCCCCCATCCTTTCATTGAATGCTTCAAAATAAATATATAATTCAAATGGAACGAATAAGCGTTCATTCATTCCTTCAACTATCCAATCATTTCATTGCATTATGCGTGTGCATACAAGTGCTAGATCGCGGTGCCATGGTATGTAGTCATCACTATTATTATGATGATGATAATGGTGGTCTGCTGCCCGCGTATGTTTGTATATAATATGAACCGAAGTTATATACATGTTAATGTTGTTGACGACCTGTTGCACAATTGAATTACATGTACATGTGTAATTTTTTCATTTATGATAACAAGTGTAAATTCTCGTTGATGGGCGATGTAAATTTGAAATAAAAGAATTATGATAATATAAAAGAGACCATACAACGGTGACAGATTAAACCACCCGCCACCATCATCATCCACCACCACCGTCATTATCATCACCATCATCATCATCAACAACAACTAGACCACAATGATCATTGTAGTTGAAGTCATAATCATCATCATCATCATCATCATCATTCAGGCCATTGCGGAAGGACTTTGAAATTAATGATTATAACAAACTAAAAGGGAAATTGAGAACGAACAGGTGATCAACTCTCCAAATGAATGTGTATGTGTGTGTACCAAACAAACACAATGTCTTTGTGTGTGTGTGGGAGCCAAACGAATTTCAAACACAACAGGAGAGAAATGACCTGATCAAACGAGTGTGAAAGTGTACACGTAATGTATATGTGTGTGTATATATTACGTACATCGATCCAAATCGATGGTTTATGTTAGTGTGTATGACTTTTTTTGGCTTGACTTGACCAATTCGAGCAACAAGTGCAATAAGCTGTTTTTTTTTCTTCAATTCGTTCATTGTTCATGGATCGCGTGTTAGCGATTGTATACCTTGGCGCGACCATCCACATCCAGGACACACATATACACACACAGCAAGAAATACTGTTGTCGACCTCTTTCGTAGTTGAGGTTCACCTGTTGTTATCATCATTAGTATTATTATACTACAAGTTGTATACAAAAGAAAAGTAAAAAACATCAATTACGTTGTAGAGTTCATGCACGAATAGAAAAAAAAAGGTAAAACATACGATCCAGTAACAACCATCATCATCATCATCATCATCATATTTTGAATGAATAAAATGGAATAGTAGTGTCTTTCTTTTGGCTTGGTTAATAGTGAATAAAAAATCAATTTTTTCCAATGAAAATCACCGAATTACCTTCACTTTCATATATGAAGAACAGCAACAAAACGAAAAAAAAATTGAAAAAAATGGCTCAAAAAAAACAAAATTTTATACGCTTCAACTTTAATACTCAAAAACACACCAACGATCATTATAATGAGATGACCATCATCATCATCATCATCAACATTATCATCTGCCTTCGCATTTTCTATTGTCTCTTTTTTTCGGGCTGATCTTTTTTGATTTTTTTCTTTTTATTGTCCGGTGTACGGGTCATCATCATCATAATATCATCAATAAGGAACATTAAAAAAACGCCTGTAAAAGCTTGACCTGATGCTGATGATGGCCAGCTAAAAAGTATGAAAACTTCCCATTTTCTTTTTTCTCCCCCCTTACAACAATCCGACCAATTTTCCGTTGGTCCAATTCAATTGTTTGCTGTCCATGGCTATCATCATCATCATCATCTTATACCTTTATCCGAAATCAGAAATATGGCAACTCACATATAAAATGGGCAGTTTCTTGAAAAAAAAGATAAACTTTCATTTCAAAGGTGGTGGTGGTGTGGGGAGCAAAGAAGAGATAGTAAACACGAGAAAAATATTACACGAAGTTTTAACCGTTTCATCCTCTTTAGTTATTTGTTATTTCATCACAATATACACATGTGTGTGTGTGTGTGTGCGTAGTAAAATTGAATAATCAGATTTAAATAAATGAAAAAAAAAATCACCACCACCACCACCATGATTGTTGTGTTACCGTTAACCATTCAACATTATCAAATAAAACAAGAAAAAAAATCATGCTTTTACAATTTCAATTTAAATGGATTCTGGGTCAATTCTCATTCATGACATGAAATGGACTCTTATCCATTGTATTCGGAAATTTACATTTGTCTCATATGGTAGCAAATAAACAAAAGAAACAAAAAAAAAAAAAACAAAAGCAAATGTTTCCACCATAGTCATGTTGGATGTTTGTTTGTCTATAGAGAGAAAAAGAAAGAAACAACTAGAATATAGGAAGCGAGTTCATTTAAAACAAAAAAAAAACAAAATAAACCAAGTGGAAAAAATTCAATTTTATAGAACAAACGAATGTAAAACACACACACACACACACACACACACACACACATAATAATAATAAGAGGAAGAAGACACCGAAAAAAAACTAGATAATAGGATCGCACATGATGATGATGATATACAGGCTACAATGGATGGACATAATGTTAATACAGGTCGTCACATCATACCTGTGTTCACATTCGATGGTGAATAGGTCATCATCAAACTTGTCAAAAAAAATGAATTTTAATAGAAAAATTTTCATTTCAATTGAACAGACGAAATATATGTGTGTATTATGAAAAAAAAAATTGACAAGGAAGAATTTTTCTTTTACCTGTTGTATTCAAAAAAAAAAAAAAAATCACTACCATTCGAGAACGATGATGATGATGATGATGATGACAAAATACCGTTACAAATGAATGAATGAATAGAAAAAAAAGATCTAACCACCTGCTGTTATTGTAAAAAGGTCTCTGACTTTATATTTCTTTATTTTCAAATTTTACATCATCATCATCATCAGCTGGAATAGATTCGATAGAAGAAAACAAAATTCTACCCTGCTTTATATCCATATTTGTATTTGTATTTTATCATTATAAATTATAAAAAAAAGTCAAAACAATCAAACAAAATAAAAAAAACATAGTGCAATTCGTACACGTACTAGGCATCATCATCATCATCATCATCACCATAATAATCATCATTATCAGTATCCATGATATGTATTTATGTTAATCAAATCGACCTATCGACCCAT